AAATACCATAGCTTTCCCAGCAGCTGCCGCTACTGATGAGATGTGTTCGGGCCAGATCAACTCCCCGGTGACCTGCCGAAATGAACGGCCCTTTGGCAGAACTCGGCCATCCATCGAAACCGGATGAGCGCTTGTTCGTCAAGGTACTGTGTTTTGGAACCAATAAACTATACAAGGTTGTTGCGTCCCCAAACAGTGATAACCTCCAGGTCCCTAGTCAGATAGGAAGTCGCTGCTAGTCTTCTTTGTTGCTCTGAATTGTGCATGTAGAGTTCTGTCATCAGCAAAGCTGTGAATTGGATTGATCGTACAGGAAAGGAGGTCGCTGTTGTATGGTGGACAGTGTTGGAGCCAAGACCGATATCTGGGGAACACCCGCGTTGACGTTGTGGGATGAAGATGAGAACCCGTCAGTTATGATGCATATCTTACTGCCAGAGAGAAAGTTAGCCAACACCTCGGCTAAGCTCCTTTGGGTGGCCGTATGATGGTAGTTTGCACAAGAGGGCAGCGCGCTACTGCTGATCAAACGCTTTCGTGATATCAAGACATGAGTCTCACCATGGGGCTAGATGAGCTTGCTCTACAATTGTCTAACGTAAGCTAGAAGCTCTCATGTGGATCGCTGGTGCCGGAACACAGCCGTGATGTTCGAGGTAGTCCAGAAGCTCGCCATTTATGCACCCGTCCATCAACTTAGTTATATCAGAAAGCAGAGCTAGAGGCCTGTAGTTGCAACGATAGGTCTGAAGGCCCTTTTTTGGGATGAGTTAGACATGAGCAACATGACGCGAGAGAACTAGAGTAAGCTCCGCATGTTATTTACCGTATAGTGTATGAATCGACAGCACTCCGGCGTTGGGGGGGACGTCCATGGTGCAGTTGGCAACAAATATCTTGGCAAGCACTTCCGCCTTAGAATTTGAGTTGCTTACAATCGTTCCATCCTGACACTAGTGGTGGGAGACTACTCTGTAAGAAGTTCCTTTCAAACTGATTGGCCAGCATCCGGACCGACTGTCATTGCGCTGGGACATTACCCTGTGCCCAACTTTTATATCATGCTAGTCTTTGGCATTGCAGACCGGTTGGTTATACATATTTGCTTCTGGTCTCGACGTCGGCTTGCCTATTATAGCTGATCGGAATTGACTCATTAAGTACATGCTCAAGCGTTAGTTAGTTTACCTACCTTCTACTACCACATCTTCACCTTGAAGTCCTCTGTTTTCAGTAAGCTTTCAGTAACGATAATACTATTAACCCTGTTTATACTTGGCAGTAATAGGCATTGGCAGATTTCAATTAACTTTGGTGTTGCAAGATATTTAATAAATGTTAACAAGTTGTGCTGGTATGAAATATCCTCCTTTTGAACCTAAATTGCTGCACCCTATAAATATTATGTAAAATATTTTTCTGTTACCTTCTTCGGAATATACTACACAGGATTTGCTTACATGCATATTTCATGCCGAACTTTGATGCCTTGCAGAATGGCGTAGCAAAGTATAGGACTTCCTTTCCTTATCGTTCCCTTCCTTTAGCTTTATGTGTGTATGTATTTTCACAACTTTGGTTTATATTTGCACTGAAAACTGTTTTTAATATTTTATATAAATATGGTTAGAGTAAAGTTAGATCAAACGCAAGTGAGTTTCGTTGTCGGTTTCCAATTATTTTAACAAAACACCCAGCGACTGAAAATTAATAATCAAGAGCCGGTTAATTACGGATTAATATTTTTGCAGGTACAACGCATGCTTTGTCAACGTGACGAAAGCAAAACTCGCAATATTCACGTAGCATTTTATGTACATTACGAGTTCTCTGTAAACAATGACAAAAGCCATTGAAACATTAATTATATTCAAACAAATCGGCGACAGCCTCAATCCTTTCTCATGTCAACTGACGGTCAGCAATCTGCCTCTACTTTACTGATATGAGCGAATGGAATGGTGTGGAATAGTCTGAAAGACCAGGGTTCATCATTCTTCCGCTCTTTGGAACATCAGATATCGGATCGACAAGATTTGTTGGACTCATCCATAGGATTCGCGGTAGCTCGGAATTCAGGCGCTGTCTTCACAGTACCAGTATTACGTGATCTAGTCCAAATACCGAAACCAACTCTCATATACTGCAATAAAGAGCAGATAGTTTCGAAAGAGTATCTATGAAACAAAGACGAAATCTGAATATCTTGTGATTCCTTCTTTCGAGAAACAACACTTACTGTGACTTCATAGTCTGCTGCACTCCTAATTTTACCAAAATTGGTGCGGTTGTCTATATTATGCGAGGACAAGCTTCAAAAAGTTACGGGAGATCAAGAGACCTACAGATTGACAGATAGACTGAAAGTAATAAATTACATGGTTTTCGTTATGCAGGGAAGGCCAATTTTTTCTGATAGCTTGAGTTCAATCTGTAAGAGAGAGAAGCGCGTTGCCACTATGTTATGTCAAATCCAAGAAAGGGGTCTGTTCGAGCATTTAATTTTGTTTTCATTTTGATTAGAATCATTTTTTCAATTTTGATACGACTTTGATACGAATTTATTTTAAAATTACCACAGCGAGCGGTCGGAAAACGTAGCAAATACCGTCACGCAATACAAATTACCACTGCCTTCCGGTAAGCAGGTGAAAACGCTAGATGGGTATTGACCAAAATCGCTCAGTTACTTATGATCATGGATGCGGAAACCTTGCCTTGAAATGTACAAGATGCGGTGTTATAAGACAAACCTATGATGTAATATTGCAGAATTTGTAGCGATCCTGACCTTCCATTTGGACCTAAAATAAAGCGCCGTTAGGACAAATGCGGAATCGATCCTAAACAGATTCGACACAATTCACAATTCAAAAACGTGTACTCCTAAAATAAAACCCCTCATTTGGGCGTAGAGAATAAGCTAATGCATATTTTTCAACGTGCATTTTAATTCAAGGAACTGGTGTAACAAATTGGCAACGCAGCATATTGCCGCGTCAGCGTTGCTAGGCAACACGATTATGAGCTTCGCTGTCCAGCCTGCTTCTATCTTCTTCTCTCTCGTACATATTGAGCTCAAGAGCTCAGACAAATCTGGTTTTCAGTGTATACCCGTAGATGCAGTGGTATCATGTATGGTCTCTCTGCTTTCCGTAGTTTTTAGTAGACATTAAAGCAAAAAACAAAACTTGCCAGTAATTGAAAATTGAAGATGGACCACCTTGCTAGAGCTCCACTGACATTTGATAATTCTAGAGCGGAAGGGGGTAGTAGCATCAAATGGGGAGGGGAGGGGCTAACTGGATTGTTTTTGCTTCTTGAAGATGAATTAACGTTTTCGAGAATGTACTTTGTTCTCAAATTATTTACTCATATAATTGATTCTCCCGAGTTGCTGAGAAGAATCAATTTTTCAGTTACCAGAACTTGAGACACAATGTCGAATTTACCACAAAACATGCCCAAAATCTCACTCTGAATCGGCTCATCGCTTATGTGATAAGTGATAAGTGACAATGCTGATCTAGATTTCTGTGGGATTACCTATAATGTTTTTAAAACCCAGCTGGCAGGTATATTTTTCACTTGTGAGTTTTAAATATAGAGTAACTATAATTTTTAATCATTGTGGGGTAAAGCGATCTTGTATGAACTATGTATGGTAAAATAGAAAAAAAAATCATTGTAAAATGGTTTACCATCGAAATAAGTAAATTATATCAGAAATATACTAATTATTTAAGAACTTTTCAGTAATTTTGCAATAAAATCGGTAGTTCGGTAGAATAGGGCTAAAATAGGTAGATTTACTGAAAAATCGGTAGACCTGGTCACACTGCGTATCTGAAAAATACAGTCAGGTATCTGAAACCTGAAATTTCTTTCATTTGTTATACATCTCCCTCTTTTGCTGGTTAGTGAGGTCACTGCAGTTCACATGAAAACTTGCTGCTACTATCTTCCTTGTAGTAATAGCCAAACTATGATTAAACATCATAATCTCTCAACGGAAACTACACCAACAAAGAACTGGCACTGAGTTTCCACGCACTTGACATTTCCATTCCCTCGATATTTTAAAAATAACTCAAAACGAAGTTCAACGGTATCATTTTTAGATTAGTGTCATCATTGGATGCTTAGTTAGCCGCACATGCGTTGACATTGAAACTAAAACATTCGACTATAATTATAGCGTAAGATGTGACCCTCACTAGTTTAAATATATTATTTGCAGGGATTAATAAGTGTCTCGTAGAATCAAGATTAATACAAATATATACGTAACAGGTTTTTGGCGACAATTGTATTTGGTTGTAAAGCTGAATAATATAACGACGTTAGAACGAAAGTGGAGAAAAGAGCGGAGTAAGAAGTTCCCCTTACATACAATCGGATGACGTTTCATTATAGCTGGATAACTTTATTGTATGCATAGAGGTATTAATATTTCTTCTCAATACATCCACACATTGAGTAAAGTAAAAAAACCTCGAATGCTGGGATAAAAACTACAGTAAATGCCAAGTTTCGACCTACCAATTCACAACGGCGCAATCTAGCTAAAATATGCTACAACTAATAAATAAGACTAGAATTTTCGCAGTTCTAGTGCATTCTTTTGACTCACTTCACTACTAATGCCTACCAAAATGACAGCGTCCTATTAACATAATAATACTTACCGATAGGAAACCAAATTTATTAGGCTTGTGCCGCTTTTTACATTGTGTAAGAAGTACCACGTCTTCATATCGTCTAACATCAGAATCATCTGCAAACACTCGCATAACTCGCAACACACAGACATAACGCTGAAAATATAAATTTAGTGACAGAACTATCAACAAGCTTACTTATGTCGAGTGCACTTTGATCCTCACTACGGACTATGAGAATAAGAAGAAATCCTTGACTGACTATCTAGTCTGAATTCGTATATAATTCGGCAATAACCAGTATGTTGAGATACTGCCAGCAACCCAAATGCGCCAAACGTTGGAACTGAATAGCCAAAAAGGCGGTCACATTGTCCGTCTGTCTGTAGGACTGTCTGACAGTGGATCTAGGAGCTACGGGCAGAAAACGAAAAAAAAAATGTTCTGCGTTCTTTGTCGTTTCTATCACTCCTGCTCATATTTTGGTGTGGGAGGTATGTGCCAGTTTTTTGACGTTAAAATATTTACTTGCTTCTAACCACGATAATTCTACACACCTATGAGACCAATTTCACACATATATTTTCCCGTATTTTGTCTTTAAGACTTAGAATGATGTAAATATCGCGAGCTACCAGTTGCCACCGATGGTTTACTCATCGGAACCTTGCCGGATGATCTGCAAGACAGAGAAGAAATTGCTAGTCCGCAACAGTCTCAAAAGTGTGTGGAATAGAGACTAATGGCATGTGCCTATTTGACTAAATTGATCCTTTGCTGTACATGTTCCGAGTTTAATTTTTTCTAAGAGGACGTCACTCTTGACTGTCATAGATTTCCATGAACTGATGACAGCGTTGCTTGGGACGTATAAAGTTAACTTATTAGAAACATTTTTTCATTGAAGCAGCCATCAAGGCAGAGTTTAAATACCAAAATAGGTTGAGAATACCTGGTCCTAGGAGTAGTAGTGGTGAGGAGGCCAAGACTGGTAACTAGGCCATCTTTGGATGTCTTTGTCGATCCCATTGTGACAGCACTGTACTACTCTACGTACGTATCTACCAGTAACTGATTTTTGAACAACCCAGCTCCAGCGATGAGATATTTTGTTCTGGTGCATTTTTAGACAGCACAACATCCATGACTCAAAATGTAACTTCCGGGATTTGAACCAGCAAGCCTTTCAGACAGATTGCTCTGCGATTTTCTTTTATAGTTAGGCCACCATGAAGTCCTAAGTACCCGTGGACTCCGTGCAACTTTGGGGGATCGAGAGGAAAGAAAGAGGGCGGCGAACAAGTGTGCACGTGACCTGCATACATTCTGCCCCCGCATTAAAGATCCGGCGCTTGGTACCTCCACGGTTGACACAGTCTGAGACCATTCATAGTCAAGAGAAAAATTTTGATTTTGATACACTTTGAAGAAAGGTGGTTACACCTACCAGTCCTGTATGTACATATTTCGACACAAATGAAATGAGAAACCGGATGATTATATCTAGCAGGCTTAAAACGGAACTGCACCATGAAGAAATCTGAAAGGAACAAGGAATCCTTCACCGAACTCTTGAAAATGTCAACAAGACTGATTGTTAGCGTCATTCGTTGTGACCTATCATGGCTAACATGAGTCAGCTGTTGTAGCCTAATTTGGAAATTATAACTACAGAACCTTGAATTTTGCGAGGTTCGTAGCCCAATATAAGTTGGCAAATATTTCATGGCAAGGAAGACGGAAGAGGTATTGTAGTAGATGCCGTAAAAAGTTTTAATCCAGATATTTGTGGGACTGAACATTTCAATCCCTCAGGATTCAGCTGTTTTATTTTCGGCGGTGTGATTCGATACATTGTAAATAAATCATTTACCAGGCTTTAAGAGTTACAAACTTTGAATATACTCCTAAAACTTGCTACATAAGTATTGATATTTTGCAAGATGCAGTCAGCCCTTAGACAAAATACTGCGAAGAAAACTATCCCCCGCACTGAAAATTATTTCTATAGTTGTATACATTGTATACATACTCGAAAAATGATATGCTTATATGTAAAAATATTTGTACACCACCTTTCAGAAAAAGTTACCAGGTAGGTTACTTTAGCACACAGACTTTTAAGGATTGTAACATTTGGTTTTAAGAAAAGTTCGTTGTTGTCCAATACTTGCTGATTCACTTAAGTGTTTTGCCCTTCAACACCTAAAAATGAATTCTCACTCTCATCACGTAAATCAAATCGTAACTCAGACTCCTTCAAGCACATTTTCGCGCAGTAAGGCTTGCAGTTTAGCGCCAATTCACGCCTCATCTCAATCTTTCAAGCCGGATTCCAACCCTAAAGGGGTTGTCGTGTAATCAATAATGGTCAAAATTTAGTAGCCGCAAATAGCCTTCGAGTTTTTATATCACCCACGGTTTTCTTGCAATATACAGTGCTTTTCTTTAATGTCCCTCTCCCCTTTGATCTTTTGAACGGATCAATTCGAAAAATTAAAACTTGAGGTAACGAAATTGATGCGTTGATACCATATTTTAGAGTAAAATTGACAGATGAAAATGTCAAGATGGCCGCTGGGCGCCATCTTGGAAAAAAAATTATACGAAAACAGGGGTCTTGTGGCACATCATTTTGAAGCTCCTGACGAGTACTTTATAACTCTAGAATATAAAGTCAATAATTTTACCTACTATAAAATGGTGGTACATTTAATAATCACCTGAATACATTGCCATTTAACTTGATAATTCGAATAAATACGTTGAGTTCAGTTTAGAAGATGCTGGAAATGGTTGCCTTGAACTTCTTGACACACTAACAGCCGGTCCGTAATTTCGCGTCGAACATTTTCGAACATAGTAACATCGATGTTTCTACAAATACTTGTTATTCTCAGCCGTATATCCAATATTGAAGCAGGTTCAGTTTCGTACACCTTTTGCTTCAAAAAGCCCCATAAAAAAAGTCTAAAGGTGTCAAATCTGGCGAGCGAGCTGCCCATTTCACACGACCTCGACGGCCAATCCAACGACCAGGGAAATTGTTATCTAAATAATTGCTAACTTGTCTGTAGTAGTGTGGTGGAGCACCATCTTGCTGGAATACAATATCAGTATCGAATTTCGGTGATTACAGAGTCAATAGTATTTTCCATCATATCCGAATACAGTTCCCCGGTTAAAGTTTGTTCGATGAAGAAAGGCCCGATAACATGATTTCCCAATATCTCAGCCCAAACGCTAATTTTTTGTGGATATTGAGTATGAGTTTCCCGGAAGACTTGAGGATTGGTGTCACTCCAATAACGACAATTTTGTCTGTGCACCTTACCGTTGAGAAAAAATGTGCATTCATCACTAAAACAAATATTTTGAATATAGGTGTGTAGGATGCCGTGCAATGGTTTCCGTCATAGTCTCGCAGAATTCTGTTCTTCGATCGGGGTCATCTTCAGTTAGCTGATGTACCATTTGAATTTTGTATGGGTGTTACTTATTCTTTTTCAAAAGTCTCCACACAGTAGAAGGATAAACCTTACATACATTCGCGATGGAGGAAGTAGACTGTTGGGGATTTACTATGATCTCACCAATTATTTGAACTTGCTTTTCTTCCTAATTTAGATATAAGTTCCCTTAAATATTTTCCACAGGTAGGACGATGCGGAAAACTATCATTAAAAATCCTTTCGGTCTCGTGAAAGTTACGCGTCGCACCATAAATAAAAATCGCTTCAATTTTTTCTTTCAATGGACGAGTGCTGACCATTTTAAAAATAGTTCAAACAGTATCTAGCACTAAAACCGAAAACTAAATAAGAATATTTTAACTGTACAATGATGTTTGTTTTGTCCAAAACATTCTTTTCAATGGCAATAAACTTAAACATGTCCATGTTTATCTTTAAGCTGCATAGAAAAATTGGGACATTTGTTTCTCCCAATCTATTTGGAGAACATTAATTCTGAGCGTCGGTCAGAAATACCAGAAAATAAATAGAACGGCGGTAAGAGAGACTCATAAATCAAGAAGACGTTACAATACGTTACAGATATGTGGAGCAAACCAGCGGCTGATTTTTGATGTCAAAATGGATAGCTGACATCTACAACAATTTCACTATTCCATCATATTCGTTTATATTTTATTGCGTCATGAGTAGCTTCGACCATCGATCGGGAAGTTTATGCATTTCTGAAGATATTTTTAGGTAGATTGTGATTTTATAGTCATAATTAATCAAAAGTGGGTGTATTGTACGTTTTCCATTAAAAGACGTAGATCTATACAGATATATAGATCGACACAGAAAATACAGTCGATTACATTAATCTTCCCTTGTCCTATGATCAAACGAAATATGTTTACAAAACAGAGAGCAAGATAAGTTAGGAAAAACTAAAATTACTGACACTTTGTAATACTTTCACGTTGTCAAAAGATCTGTATGCCTCGAAATGATGAGGGAAGATGCTTGATTTTATTTCGTTACTTAACGAAATATTTTATATCAAATATGTTAATAATTTGATAAAGTTTTTGTTTGATTTTCCAAAAAAATGACATCAATAAAGTTTGTTCTGAATAATATAATTGCCGGAGTTGGAAATGTACATATACAGGGTGTTCCTTAATGATATGCGAATATTTAAGTGTGTGAATCTACATGAAAAATTAATGTTAGTTTGCTTTATAAACTATGGTCCAAAATCTTCTCTTACAAAAACTCGGGGTGTTCAAGTTTTAGGAAAAAAATGGAAATCAATTAATGTTTTCAGAACCGCTTCACTGATATTTGGTACGTAGTGAAAGTTAATAAGGTTGCATATTTTTCAATGCAAAAATAATTTTTAGCTTTAGCAGTGGCGTATTGGCTTCGATATTTCTTAAGAAAAAAATGGTACGCCAATGGTTTCTTGCCGAATAAAAACTATTTTTGAATTCCCCATTCCATTTTAAAGAAATGACCTCTCGTGAATTGTTTTCCTTCGATGCGCTATTTTTGAGTAAAAAAATAGAAACCGTTCTATTGTCTTGCAAAATTATTAATTTAATTGGAAAAATTAAACTCATTAGGGGTAACAAACAATAACAACTGACAACATAAACATAACACTAAAACCAACGGAAAATTGTTGAAAATAGCCCCCTTCACTTAGTATGCATGCTTCCGCCCTCCTTCAAATGGAATTGCGCACTCGTTGAAATTTCCCTGGAGTGTTCTTTATTCTATCATAAGCTGCAACTATTCTTTCTCTTAGTTCGTCTACAGTGTTAATGGGACTTATGTACACTAGTGTCTTAAGATAGCCCCACAAAAAGGCATCTAAACTGTTGAGGTCTGAGGACCTTGGTGGCCATTCTTGGGGCCCACCGCGGCCAATCCAACGATTTCGATGAACAGTTTGTAAATAATTACGAACCGCTACACTGAAATGCGCCGGTGCACCATCATGCATGTACCTCAAATTGTTTCTTATTACTAACTGAACATCATCGGGCAGCAAAGGCAACTATTGTTGAAGAAAATTGAGGTAAGTCCGTCCGTCAAGACCTCCCGGCAAGAAGAATGGGCCAATAAGGTGGTTGCCAATAACTCCTGCCCATACGTTAACCGAAAATTGGTGTTGGAAATGGGTTTCGTTTACGGCATAAGGATTTTCTCTGCCCAGAAATTCAGAAATTCTGAATGGCATTTCCAGGAAAATTAGCTTCGTCCGTGAACAGAATCATTGATTCAAATTGCGGATTTTGTGTAATTTTTTGAAGATACCACTGACAAAGGGTCACACGCCTTGGAAAATCAGTGGGAAGTAATGTCTGTACTCTTAAAATATGGTAAGGATATAACAAAAAATCAACTAAAATTCTCCAAACAATTTGATGGCAAATATTTAACTGTCTAGCGATCTGCCTGGTACTCGTTTCAAGATGTTCTTTGACTTCGTGCAGCACTGCTTCCTCAATTTCAGGTGTTCTCACACTTAGAGGTCTACTTTCAGATGTTCTTTTTCAGACAGAACCAGTTTCAACAAGACGACGATGAATATTAGAAAAGGTTCAACTATCTGGCAAAGCACGATCGGTATACCTCTGGTGATAAATCCGTCGGGCTTGCACCACCATTACCGTCGGCAAGGCGATATACTTAATGCATTTCCGCCAATTCTGCATTTGAATAATCCACCACTATTAGCAAGATTGTAAAAACCAAATAATGAAAAGCGAACAGATTTGAATAACAGAGACTTGTCAGATGTCTAAAGACAGTGACATATTACAGAGCAACTAGATATTTATTGCTAAATTGCATTCTT